CCCACACCCGTTCTGAAAGCACGTGCCCAGCCCCCCCCCCCCCCCACCCACCCGCGTATTCGGGAGGGGGTCGATGATTGTCCCATGCATAGTAGGGGGGAGACGGTCGGGAACTTTGGCGCGACACGCTATCCACAAGCCAGGTCCCCAAGCACCAACGTCCCAAGCTTCTCCCAGCCTCGGCCCCGCGGAGCGGAGCGACACGCCATCCACTTGCAAGGCATAGCGCGTCGCCGGGGCCCGCCGCGGCGACATGCTAACCAAAGATTCCCGACCATGGGCTCAGGGGGAAAGGCTTCGAGGTTCGAGGTTTTCGGGCGGGCTCGTCGATTCTAGGCGGTTTTCCAGTCTCGGGGTGCTCTCCAGCAGCTGTGCTTCGCCGAGACCTCTCCGGGGCTGCCCAGATCGTCCCGAACGGCCGCCGGAGAGCCGAGCTATGACCCGAAAGCCAAGGGGCAGCGTGAAGGGAGTGAAGGCTCAGGGGGGGATGCATCATCGCCGGTAGGGGCCCGATGGCCCGCCCCGCCCAGGACCGTGCGGATTCGCAATCGGCGATGTGTCGCGGTTCCGGCTTGGTGCTTCTTCGCTGAGCTGGTCCCCAGGAACGTTACCTTTCACCTCCCCCCACCGCCGCGGGGCCCGAGGTTCATCTCAAAGAATCAGTCGGCCAGACGCCTCGAATAAAAACCTGGTGAAAACATCGATGGAGATTTTATGTTGCGAGCGAAAAAAATTAATCGGAAAGCACATTCGATGGGTTTGCAGACATTGCAGGCGGGATGGTGCCTGAACGCTGATCTCTGGCTGTTCCCTGAGCAGGGGAAGCCTTCATGAGCATATAATGCCTGGGAGGTCCGCGGTCCGCGCGGCTCTCCTCACACCGGGCGCTGTCGCGCCCAGCTTCCGGGCCCCGGGACCGTCACAGACCGATCCGGCTCGAAGGATGCGGCAGGAAGCCGAAGACGAACCGGCGGCTTGAAAGCCGATGATGCGGGGGGGGGGCGGGGGCCTCCCTCCTACCTCCTCCTCCTCCTCCTCCTCCTCTCCACCTCCCTCCTCCCTTCCTCCTCCTCATTCCTCCTCCCTCCTCCTTCTCCTCCTCCTCCTCCTCCCTCCTCCTCTCTCCTCCTCCCCCTCCTCCTCCTCCTCCCTCCTCCTCCTCCTCCTCCCTCCTCCTCCCTCCTCCCTCCTCCCTCCTCCTCCTCCTCCTCCTCCTCCTCCTCCTCCTCCTCCTCCTCCGCGATCGCCCAGGTCGAAGAAAAACCGACGGCATGTAACATAAAATGCTCGGAGACCCACGCAGATTTCTTGGATCTGCGCCGGGGCCCCTGGACGGCGCCTCCAACGCCGCACCTGGCGCGCCAGGGAGGGGGTCGACCAAAAAAAATGCGCAGAGCTCCGAGAGCTTATGTTTATGAAATGTTTGCATCCTCCAGGGAAGGGGTCAGGGGTTGATGCAACCCTCACCTCGCCAACCTCCTCCCTTTCTCGCCAGTGCTTGTTTGCATCTGGGATGCTGGTGTCATTTAAGACACTGGTCAGTCTCTGCCACGCATCAGCACGGAGTGCGCGGGCTACTCGAGAGATGTTATATTGTGGTCGCCCCCCTCCTCAAAAAAAAACTCGCCCCTTTAAGTCGATGAGAGAATCGCCCTTTCTCGATCCTCGATGGCTCGTTCGGCTGCATGTTTGCGGTCATGCACCCGCCTGGTCTGGTCCCCGATCGCTCGTTTCCGTTGTAGAGGGTGTTTTGCTGAAGTCGGGGGCGTCAACAAGAGGGGGTGACGACCAGGTGGGGGTGACCCTCGTGGCCGGGATTTTCCCCCCACGTTTCGTGGGCCCCCCCCTGGGCTGCGCACGTGCCTCGGGCCATGCTCTGCGAACCCCCTCTCGGGCACCCCCTTCGCGGACGCCCGGGACGCAAGGGGGCCTGGCCACCCCCGAATGGGACCGAGGGAACCGAGGATCGGGCATCCGACCCAAGGAAGGAAGCGGGCCTTCGGGGCGAGGAGGGGGGGGGGGATGGATGGAAGGATCGAGGAGTCTCGAGGAGGCTCGAGGATGAAGGGCTCAAGGAGGCTCGAGAAGGCATCGAGGAGCGATTGAGGAGGGATCGAGGAGGAGGAGGAGGAGGAGGAGGACGAATAGTAGGACGAAGAGGCGATGGGATGGAACGCGAGGGGTAGAGGAGGAAGGACAGGGCAGGGGGGAGTGCGAGGAGCAAAGGAGGAAGGGAACGGAAGGAGGAGGATGAGGAGGAGGAGGAGGAGGAGGAGGAAGAGGAGAAGGAGGAGGAGGAGGAGGAGGAGGGAAGGAAGGAAGGAAATGACATGGCCGAGCTGCTACTCTTTCTGACAAAGAGGTGAACAGGCCTGGTGCGCCGCAGCCACGCGCCAGGAGGGAAGGACGGTCCCAGCGGGTGTTTCGCCAGCCTTGGGCTCCCCATAGGCCCGCGCCCCCCGGCCTGGGGGGGGCCGGCGCGAGACGGGTCGGGAGGAGGCGCCAGTCTTTGGGAGGGCCCCAGGAGCAGTTTCCAGCCCGCTCTCCTTCACGCGGGACGTGGCCTCGCACCTCCTCCTCCTCCTCCTCCTCCTCCTCCTCCTCCTCCTCCTCCTCCTCCTCCTCCCCCTCCTCCTCCTCCTCCTCCTCCTCCTCCTCCCTCCTCCTCCTCCTCCTCCTCCTCCTCCTCCTCCTCCTCCTCCTCCTCCCTCCTCTCCCTCCTCCTCCTCCTCCTCCTCCTCCTCCTCCTCCTCCTCCTCCTCCCCATGACCGTTCTGGTTCAACCCACGAGAACGAGCAGCGGCATACATTTAGACGTTCCCGGGCCCGCGCGGGTATAGCTTGGATCGGCGACGGCCCCCCCCCGTCCCCGCACCCCCGGCCCTTCAGAAGTGGGCCTGGCGCTTGCCGCGAGCCCAGGGTGGGGTCGGAGCTGGCGAGGCGCCCGCTCCAGCCCAAGAAAATCGCGCAGGTCTCCGTTGTCTATGTTGATGTGGAGCGCTCTGCACGGGGCTCTGCACGTGTGGGTCTCCTCCTCCTCCTCCTCCTCCTCGCGCTCCTCATTCCTCAGGCTGTCTTCATCATCCTCATCCTATACTTCCTGCTCCTCCGCAGAGTCATTTCGGGTCAAAGCCACCTGGCTCAGCACGGCGCCCGAGTGGGCGCCTAGCGGTGGCGAGCTGACGCGGTGGATGTGGTATCTCGTGCAGGTTCACCTTGCGTTCATTCGGGATGAGGCGACGCATGCGGTGCGAAACGCCGCCATTTGCAAAGTGATGCGAGTGCTCAGTGCCGCCCACCTCCAGCGATCTGCGGCTGGACGCGCAGACGGGCAAGCCCTGGCTGCGCGTTCCTTCCTTTTCTCCAGACATCAGGCGATAGGGGCGAATAGCCCAGGGGCGGGCATTACACGCATTCGTCGGGGATCCTCGCCGAAGACATGAACCGTCGACGCTTTTAGATACATGTATTGCTCTCCCCTGGGCTAAGTTATTCGCCCCCTATCGTCGCCCCCTGATGATTGTATCCGAGCAATTGTGGCGAACTCGTTTGCGTGGCGGGCGTTCCATTCATTCCAGTCACCGTCTTGCAGCGCAGGGGCGCACATTATTCTTTCTAATGGCGATAACGGTCCTGAGTCTTGTTGTTGATGATCACGACAACGGTGAACCAGGTACGTACGTTGTCGAATATATTGGGCCAGGTGCGGGGGAGCCTACAAGTAGGCGCCCCTCCAAACGCTTGCAAGTGCGACAAAGACGACCTGATCTTATATGTCATGGACGGCTTAAGCAGTTCTTGTTACAGTGCTTGTTCACCGACTTAAAAGTCACCGTGGCTGTTTGCCTGCGATCCTTCATCGTTGTGCTGCCGTTTATCTGCATCGTTATTCCTCGACCATCGCGGCCTCCACCGCATTCGGTTTCGTTGTTGGGGTTTCCTTCTTTCCTGTGTGCGTCCTCGTTCGGGACGCGGATATCTTGTGGATGACATGGCGGACTGGATCTGGTCTCCTCTTCCTCCTGCCTGGATCCGCTCGTCATCCTTCATCCATTTCAGATGGCATGTAAAGCCACGCTGAAGTATATGTTCCTCCTCTTCGATCCTCCTCCCCTCATCCCCCTCATCCTCCTCATTTAACATGACCATCTTCCTGGTTTTCCTCGTCCTTATTTATCATCAGTTTGATCATCATCATCATCAGCAGCAGCAGCATCAGCATCATCAGCATCAGCATCATCAGCATTATCATCAGCATCATTAGCATCATTATCAGTATCATCAGCAACATCATCATCATCATCATAATCAGCAGCATCAGCATCACCACAATCATAATCGTTATCGTCATCATCGTCATCGTCAACATCCTCAGCGTCATCAGCAGCATCATCGTCAACATCCTCAGCATCATCAGCCTCATCATCAACATCATCATCGCCACCAACATCGTTAGCATTACCACTACCATTATCATTACCATCACCACCATCCGCATTATCGTCGTTATCATCAGCATCATCGTCAGCAGCATCATCATCAGCACCATAGCATCATCCTCATCATCATCCTCATCATCATGAGCAGCATCACCATCACCGTCGTCGTCGTCGTCGTCGTCGTCGTCGTCATCATCGTCATTGTGATCATCCCCCCCAGTGGGGGGTCACGACGCCCGTGATCAGATTCGCGATGACATAATGTGATATTTCGGGTGCCCGGACTACAGATCAGACCAGGTGTAGCCTTCCAGTCGCTGTCGCACCATGGACACCCTGCATACGGGAGAGCCTGGAGGGCCAGAAACTGCTTGGGTCATGCGCGCCTGCAGCTCCCGTCGCCAGGGCCAGGCCGGCAGACCGCATGTTTGCAGCCAGGGCCAACGCGTCGCCCGGGCACCGCCGCTGCTGTCTTGCTCGTGCACGCCCGTCCGCTCCTTGGCTGCTGTGCGGCATCCGGCCTGGCTGCGCGCGAGCAGGGGCCCTCCCGCCCGAGCAGAG